ATAGTGCTGACAATACCATTGAACGTGTCGTTGATTACACTGGTGAGCCCAAGCGCAGACACAGCTTCATCAACAGCGGAAGAAATCTTGGCGTCAATGCTACTATCACCAGCAGAGGTAAGCTCCTGGGCAGTATCGTTGGTTAAGCACCCAGCAGATGCATAGGCATGGAGCTCGAGGACTCCAGACAATTTAGCAATCGACTCGTTCTGTGCGGAGACAAGCTCTTGGTAAGAAGCTAGTTGACCATCGTACACTTGTTGCGACACCGATAACAGCTCCGGAACAGAAACCAGAGGTGCGGCCGCCGGCTGGAACTCTTGAGCGTGACGGTTGAAATGGTGAGCTTCCCGATTATGAGCACGGCAGTAACGAGGAGCTCGTGTGCGTGGCACAATAGAACGAAGAGGATACGCAGCTCGCAGTTCCGTTTCCAAAGCAGCCATGAACTCATCTTCCCACTGCGTGGTGTGGTGCCTGGCAAACTGGTAAGCGATGCCGATGTGTTTCAAGCGTCTTCGCGTGGAATTAGAAAGAGCAGAGCGATGGGCGTGAGCAGCCATCTGCAACCCAGTAAAATGGCGATCTGCATAATCCGCCAGAAGACGCATCGCACGGCCAGACAAATAAGAAAGATGTCCACTCACAACTTCCATAACGAGGAGCACGTATGATATCAATCGAACACAAGAATGAAGAACAAATCATCAAAACATGCCTGGGCTCGCTTGAGCCGCGGGCCAAATTTGCCGTCTTGAGCCTTAATGGCTACGGAGGAGGAGGAGGAGGAGGAGGAGGAGGAGAAGGCGGAGCAGGAGGAGGAGGAGGAGCAGGAGCAGGAGGAGGAGGAGGAGGAGGAGGAGGAGGAAGAGGAGGACCCCTCACCCCCACAGAAGGGGCGCTGAAGGTCCCTCTTGCGCGCAGCCGGCTCTGGCGATCGGCCCCTCGGCTGGCCGGCCGGGCCCGAGCCGAGAACCTCCGGCCGCCGCCCCCTGGGTCGAAGCGGCGCTGGCGCACCTCCACGAACGAGGCCTCGCCGGCGGCGCCTCCTCCTCCTCCTCCTCACTTCCTCCTCCCTCCTCCTCCTCCTCCTCCTCCTTCTCCTCCTCCTCCTTCCCCTCCTCCTCCTGCTCCTGCTCTCCTGCCCTGCTCCTGCTTCTGCCCCTGCTGTCCTGCTTTCCTGCTTTTCCCTTCCTGCTCCTGCTCCTGTCGTGCGTCCTCCTCCTCTCCTCCTCCTCCTCCTCCTCCTCCTCCTCCTCCTGCTCCTGCTCCTGCTCCTGCTCCTGCTCCTGTTTCTGCTCCTGCTCCTGCTGTCCTGCTTTCCTGCGTCTGCTCCTGCTCCTCCTCCTCCTCCGCCTCCTCCTCCTCCTCATCATCATCTCATCATCATCATCATCAGCATCATCATCATCATCATCATCATCATCAGCATCATCATCATCATCATCATCATCACCACCACCACCACCATCATCATCATCATCATCATCATCAGCATCATCATCATCATCATCATCATCATCGTCATCATCATCATCATCCATTCATCCCTTTTCCTTGTAAAAAAATTCTCCCTGTCGCAACCCGAGCCCAGTTTTTGTAGCGGGCCGGGAGTTTCGCCTGAGACTTCCTCACCATTGATGACTCTGAGGCTTAAAAATGACAACAGCTTCTCAGATGGAGGGCGGGCCGTTTTCAAAATGTGGCTCTCGCTTTAGCGCCGCGCATATTCGTTTGAAACATTTACAAGAGTCTTACGGATTGAGGGCGGTTCATGTTTAAAATGTGGCTCTCGTCTTAGCGCCGCGCACACTCGCTTAAAAATATGTGCGAGAGGTTCACGGATTGAGGGCGGGTCGTTTTCAAAGTGTTACTCTCGCCTTAGCGCCGCGCACATTCGTTTTGTTCAATTTGCAAGAGCTTCACGGATTGAGGGCGGTTACTTTTCAAAGTGTGGCTCTCGCTTCAGCGCCGCGCACACTCGTTATTTGTTTTGTCTAAAACTCCTTTAAACAAAAACAGTTGCAAACATTCACGGGTCCCCATGGTCAACGTACCAGAAGCGGTGTGTTGGAAGGATTCAGGATTCAATATTATGCGGGTGCAACAAGTATGTTGATTCACAGTGTTGACTTCCCAAAATGGCATTATGGTACGATTCCAGATCGTCAGGACGCAGCAGTCAGGTTGATCCGTGGCGTGGAAGCCCCGAGAACAATGTTTGAGCATGCTTCAAGGTCTTCAAACGGTTGTCTTCCAACGAGGCAGTTCCCTCAATGGAAATGAACCGTTGTAACGGCCTACGAAAAGGGGGCTTGGAGGGAGGGCTAATTCCAACATCATTGATGACTCTTGGGTTTACACTGGTCCTCCTCCTCTCCCCCTCCTCCTCCTCCTCCTCCTCCTCCTCCTCCTCCTCCTCCTCCTCCTCCTCCTCCTCCTCCTCCTCCTCCTCCTCCTCCTCCTCCTCCTCCTCCTCCATCCCAAGTCCTCCTCCTCCTCCT